GCGCTCGGATGTAGTAATAGTGGCCGGTGACTTTAATGCTCAAGTAGGTAAACTAAGCGATAGGGAAAGACACCTGGGTGGATCTTATAGTGTCGTGGCTCAAAGAACAGATAATGGCGACCGTCTGTTGCAGCTATGCTCAGATAACCGCCTCTTTCCTGCAAATACTAACTTTAGGCATAAGGAAAAACATCTTTTAACATGGAGACCCCCTAATTCGTCCCAACGTTGGACCCACCGCCGGAGGTGCTCGATAAAAGACTCGCTCATTCTGGAGCACATGCTTAGATTCAGATCATGCTCTAGTATGAGCGCGTATTTGCCTGCGTCTTACTGGATGTAGGAAAGACGCTGCAAGTAAACCTCTTAGGGCTCTACTTAATGATAGTCAAGCTAAGAGTATATTTCCGGAACAACTAGGAAAAAGTTAGGCAGCCATGTAGGTGATGCCCACCCCGATGCAGCATGGAATGATATCCGAAAAGCTGTGGGAACAGCAGTGATATCTGCTAGTACGGTTACCCGTAAGGTTAGGGAGCAACACTGGATCTCAGCAGCATCTATCGCACTGATAGATGCTCGGAAACTCATTCCACCTGGCTCTGAACATAATGAAGAGTGGAGTCAGCTTAAGCGCAAGCTGACAAGAAGTCTAGGCAATGATCGTGAACAGTGGTGGGTAGCGTAAGCAAGAGAGATGGAAAAGGCAGCGGCAATATGTAATAGCAGACAATTGTTCAGATTTGTTAAGGAAACCGACTGTTAGCGAAACAATCTCAGAGAAAGATGGACATATTATACATTCTCGATCCAGGAGATTGGATCGATGGGCAGAACACTTCACTGATCAGTTCAACTAGCCTTCAGCCACACTTCGGTTTCCCACGATCTCCAGTCAACCTGAATGGCAAGTTAATGTAGGTCCTCCGTCTCTTTACGAAGTTGAAAAAGCCATAGGAAATCTGAAACGAGGGAGAGCAGCAGGCCCTAACAGGTTTACTCCTGAGATTTTTAAGGATGGTGGTTCAGTATTAGCAGTGAGATTAACTGAGGTCTTAGGTAGAATTTGGGAACTGGACGTAATCCCATCTCTCTGGTCTCAATCACTGATTGTGCCAGTCTATAAGAAAGGAAAAAAGTCCCCTTGTGACAATCACAGAGGAAGCAGTTTGACTAATATAGGATCTAAAATATTAGCTTCAATAATACTTCGACGCCTAACTAAAGCTCGTGAAGAGCAGACTAGAGAAAATCAGGCTGGTTTTCGACCTGGACGTGGTTGTATAGATCAGATATTCACACTACGTCAGGCTCTAGAACACAGACACACATTCAGACGCCCCACAATGGTAGTATTCCTCGACCTTAAGGCGACATTCGACTCTGTTGATCGTGAGGTTCTATGGCAGTGTTTGTCACTGAAAGGAGTACCAAAGAAGTACATTAACCTTATAAAGGTTCTCTACTCGAATGCAACTGGTAGAGTGAGAGCTTATGGCGAACTGTCATCAGAATTGATTACCTCAAGTGGTGTTCGTCAGGGCTGTTCACTCTCTCCATTCTTGTTTAACATTGTCGTTGACGTGTTTTGGAGATAACACTTTCCTCATCTGAATTTCCAGTAGTTGAACTTCTACCGGGAGGTTCACTTGTTGACTTAGAATATGCAGATGACATAGTTTTATTTGGTGAAGACGCTGACAAAATGCAGAGTCTTCTGACCACTCTAAGCAACAATGCAAGCATGTTCGGGATGCGATTCTCTCCCTCGAAATGCAAAATGTTGCTTCAGGATTGGGTTACATCGACACCCGAACTAGTGATAGGGAGTGAAGTAGTTGAGTGTGTCGACCGCTTCACTTATCTTGGAAGTCTCATCAACCCTTGTGGTCTGGTGTGTGACGAAATCTCAGCACGGATACAGAAGGCTCGACTAGTTTTTGCCAAGTTGCGTCATTTATGGCGTAGGCGAGATATCCGTCTATCAACCAAAGGACGTGTTTACTGCGCAGCAGTTCGTTCCGTCCTACTTTATGGCAGTGAAACATGGCCGGTAAGAGTAGAGGATATCCGTAGGCTACTAGTATTTGATCATAGGTGTCTTCGAAACATTGCTCGTATATCATGGGACCATCGAGTAAGTAACACAGTTGTTAGGAAACGGGTACTAGGTAAGGATGGCAAATCAATTGATGAAGTAGTGAAACTTCATCAGTTGAGATGGCTGGGACACGTGTTACGTATGCCCAACGACCGACTGCCTCGACGTGCTATGTTCAGTGGTATAGGAGTAGGTTGGAAGAAAGTTAGGGGCGGCCAAACCAAAACGTGGCACAAGTCCATGAAGTCACTGACAAGTGGTCTGAGTCATGTTGGTAGGTGTAGACTACCTGGTTGGGGACCGTGAGATGAAAGCAACCGATGGTTAGAGACCCTGAATGACATGGCTCAAAATCGTTTGAAATGGCGCAGGTGCATTCACTCTTTGTGTTCTCCCAAATTCTAATCTGAATTCTTCATGTCCCTTTTTTCCTCTTTCCAAATTTATTTCACTGGATTATACTCTATAAATAACATCTCCAAACCCTAATCTTCCCGATTACTGCTTATACTCTTATTACCTCTACCACTATGGGATTTGAATCGACAACTGCATCTCTGTGCTAATGTGGAGTGGCAACTCGAACTGATGTACGTACGTACGAAGTTCTACGTTGTTACTGACTGACTGACCGGAGTATAGTAGCATCTCTCCCGTATTTAGCCTTTGTTGTCCAGCTTGGGTCCAATGGGTTTCGCTGATTCCCAGTACTGTCAAGTTGTATCTCGTCATTTCCGTTGCTATTTGACTGGTCTTCCCGGTCTCCCATATTTTTCGTACGTTCCATGTACCTATAAAATATTTTGCTCTGGTTGTTAGAAGGGGCCTCGGCCTTGTGGCTTCCGAAGGAACTCGGCTTTCACCATGAAGCGTCATAATTCTTCTAAATGAAGACCTTCTAACTTTCAGGGCAGAGTTTAAATGGTTTGAATTATTTCTCCTGATAAGCGTTTTTTTAGCGAGTTAGTTTTCTACGGGATGGAGTCGCTAACCCCACGCCCAACCCTCCTCCTTTACCCAGGCTTGAGACCGGCAGTAACTCTGGAAGAGCTACAGGCGGAGTTACTATTTCTTACCTCAATGTTAAATTCTATTACATATTTGGTTGTATGCAGCTTACGAGAAACCAAGAAATATAATGCAGTTATATTATTCTGCATCAATATTTGTTCTGGCTTTATTTAGACTATAATTATACATACTTACAGGATTTATAATGTAAAACACTAAGTATGGTTGTTATATTTATATTTAAATAATTCATTGGGCGAATGAAAATGGCAGTAGGCAATATAAAACTCAGTTATCGTAAACTTTTAAAGTGTTTTTCCACATGATCTTCCATAATCATAAATTCTATAAGCTTCATACAATTCTGATAAATAAAAAGTCAGTCTTGAGACAAGCCATTCAACTTAGTTATCAGTATCAAATTCAATAAGTTAATCAAATAGCAGGTAACAGAATGTACCTATAAGTGTCTTATTTGTAAACATTAGAGATTCCGGATTCCGTTAATAGAAATTCATTGGTAATCTTTATGACAGGCACATCATAAATTAGTGCTAATTACAACTTGCTTCAGTTACTATGCTCACAACATACACACATCGTCCGACTTATGAAGAAAATGTGACCCATTAATGTGGCACTTATAGTAATGTTGTATACAGTTCTGTGCTTCAACTTACATTTTACAAACAGCTATGAACATCCAAGTTCAACACCACTATAATTATGGAAATGCAAATGCTTTCACAGCTCATTTTTGCATATAACTCCGACATGAGTAAATAGATGAATAACATGACCACAACTCATAAACAATTAGAAAAGAACGCTAATGTCCACTCGTCAGGATGGTCACAAGCAACATATACCTATGTAGTACGTGCTTGCTGTTAGTAAGAATCGACCATCTATTGATTATTTTGTTTTCCAGATTAAACGTTATTTATCTCCATAAATGATCTTATACAATATTTTGTGACGTCACCAATGTTTGTTTCATTGCTGAGTTCCGTGGCCACAAAGGAGATATGAGTGCCAGAAATTTGTTATTTAGCTTCGATTGCTCGTTCAATTTTTACCACGTATTTGGCCTGAATTACTTTGGACTTATGCCGAGTCGGTTTGTAATACAGTAGGAATTCAAGAATTAACTCATTAATACTTGTTATTTGATTCTAGTTCTTCTAGGGTTGTGTAGTATCAAGCACTGGAAGCTTCAAATCCCCATCACATAACGATGAACGCCTCACTATGTTATTATTTTATTTTATACCGTGTTTATGATGCCAATCGGTTAGGTTAATTACTTCAACCTACATTTTACAAACAGCTACCAACTCGACAATGTGCATTAGAAATTAGTTCATAATTTGGTCAGTGATTGCGGATTCTGTTTACAGAAATGCATTCGTAAACCATATAACAGACACTTTATATATTAGTATTAAGTATGACGTGGTTTAGTTACCATGCTCAAAACAAACACTCATCGTTTTACTTATGAAGAACATGTGACTACTTAATGTGGCACTTCCAGTAGTGTTATACACTGTTTCTGTATACGTCCAGAAAGCAGATAGAAAAGACTCAACGTTAATTGCTACTCACATAATTTTTCTCAGATACGTTACATAATAATATGTAACTTCAGTCTAAAATGGTTTTGCTTATAATGGATATAAGTGTTTATGGCTGTATGTTAGCAAGCTATATAATATTGATAAATAGTTTAACGCTTAATTGCCTCAACCTACATTTTATAATCAACTACCAAAATCCATGTTCATCATAACCATAATCAAGAAGGTGAATCAAATTTAAAAGGTTTTAAAGCTTATTTTCCTTAAAACTCAATTTGTGATCTATTTTTGACTTGAAAAATGGTGAATTTTACTTGCTTGAGGTTGTATTGTTACAAATAACTACATTAGGCTGACTTAATATTCACTCAGGTTGTGAGCAACAAATACGTCAAATTACTCATAAACTGGAATAAAAGCTATGTAACATGCATAAACATTACGAAAATTGACGTGTGACGGGAAAAGTGGTGTTAATAACTGATAAATAATGACACAAAATATCCGCGACAATGTGTAACATGTGCACGAAAACCCCTGGCTTACCGGTTTATCCGTCCCCCAAAGTCGAAATACATAGTTTCATATGAAAAATGATGATAAACATGATTGTAATTTGATAAATAAAAAAAAGCAAATGATGAAATTATAATTATTCAATTATTTGTTAAACCTTTTTCTGTAAATTGTAAGTATTCAACTTATTTTCAAAATAGAAACACAACTTGAAATAGTCATGATTATCTGTATAAAAGTCGAGTCTTATAACAAAGAAAATTATCTGTTCAAGATATTCAATTTGTTATAAGTTTATTTTGTATTTCTATTTATTACTATCAACTTGTTGTTTTCTTCATTGTTGATCAAAAATGCGCTAATTTGAATGATGAATAAACTTACATCTTTAAATTCTTCTTATTTGTGATTGAGTAAAAGATTACTGAGAATCATGAAAAATGTATTATATAAATAAATACTTAGTATATTGAATTAGAATATGAATGAAGTACTTGCTTGCAGTAAAATATTGTTATCAGTTTTTAGAGAAATAAAATACTTTGGTACTTTCTTCTTCATAGCATTAGATAGTATAATGATTAAATGCATAACAAGAAGGAGAAGAAGAAGCAGAAGAAGCGAAATGACATATGTGTACATATATATATATATATCTGTAATAGGGAAAAGGATTAATTCACAACCATTCAATGAATATACATTGTCATTGTTATACTTGACATGAATTTATTCACTGTAACAATAAATGATTAATCAAATAAACTAAAGAAGTTTATATCAAAGTTATAAGTCAATATATTCATAAATAAATAAATTTCAAATGATTTAAGAAATTGTTTATATGGAAATAAAGTACAATTATTCAAGATTATGTTTGATGAAGTTGTTTTTTTTTTCTTTTTCAATGTTCAACTGAAGGTTTTTAAGAAGAAGAAGAAGAAAGAATTCAGTATGTAATTACTTAATTTTGTATAAGAAAACGCTAAAGAAGTAATGTATTATTTGAGAAAAAGAAAATATTCGAAATAACATTCAAAACCAACTATTACCATGTTTGTTGTTATTGTTGTCGTTGTTGTTGCTAGTAATCATAAAATCATAGATCTTATAACATTTAACAATAATGAGTTATATCTTCAATGTTATTAGATCCAAAATAATGAATAAACTATTTGTTGTTATTGTTGTCGTTGGAATTGATTTGATTTTTGTTCATTTTGTAAATAGTAGTCATGAGTTACTTCAGTTGTTTGGAATACATTACCTAGTTTTATACAAAGGGGATAATAAAATGTAATTTTTTTTCAAATGTTCTTTTGTTTGTTTTTTAATATAGGGAAGTAATAAAAAATTGATTTATCGACAAAATGTTTCTTTCATCTAATATGTTTTCATTAAGCTAATTATTTATAATTTCAATTATAATTCAGTGAACTCTACTATCTCTATTTTAATTTACTCAATCCGTTAACTAGAATGGAAAGTACAGTTTGTGTTTAAGTTCTTGTGATAGTGACTACTGAAGAACTGGTTTGTTATGTAATAAGACTACATGCTTAGACAAAAAATAGTAACATAAACGTTTCGCGTGGCAAAACGTTGGATATACTTTAAATTCTTTCGCTGAGATTTTAGCAATACATTCTTCCTCTTTAATGTTTTAGATTAACTCAGTGCCTAAATACTGTGAAACTATCCAATCAAATTTAGACGAAAGTTCTTATTTATAAAAGAAATATGATTAAATTTTTGTAGGGGATTCAATGAAATTAGTTTGTATGTTACTCAATTTTCAATCAATTAGAACCTAAATGTTAGGGTTAATTATTAAGGATCGTATCACTTCATGAATAATAACATTCATTTCTCGTCATTAAGTAACACTAAATAGGTAGCCACAGGAAAGTTATATTTTAAAGTTTTCTTGTCTTAGTAACAGGATTTCAAGTAGTTTCCAGTCCTGACCTGACTAAGGATTGTAAATGATAACAATAACTTAATAAGAATTTTGTTGATAAATTGATTTACTTGATAATATTTGAAATCGATTAATTAGATAAGTAATAATATGCTTTACAAATGGATCAGATATATTAAATTGATCATTAATTAGAAGATTACATGTTTTACAAATAAGATAATTTATCACTTTTACATAATGAGTAAAGTTGTATGTCCATTCTTAAGTTGATTTCAAAGTAGATTGAATGATACAAGATTTATTTAAAGAAATAATATCTAATTGGTCAATTGCAATTTAACTAATCCGATCATACACATCAATTATGACATCGTTGTAAATGCGGCCTTTTTGAATAAACAGTTTCAGTTATCATTCTGTTATTTAAGTAAGAAATTGGTGAATTTATCAAACAATTTGTGTATAACACTCAAAATTCTTTTGCAAATTAGGTTAAGTAAATTTAATGTAATCCGATTCAACAACTAATCTGTAGTATCACAAATTACGCAAGCATTTTAGTGCAGGAAGAATGACTTTCTGACCAGCGTTATCGAGAAAAACTGTAATGAATTGGAGAAGTTATGAAGAGTGAAACTACGGGAGAAGAAGGATAATAAGAAAAGATGTTTAGTGGCTAACAGTGGAATCCAGGATGCGCGTTTCGTTCTATTGGGGACTCGTCAGATGGATTTACCTACATCTGTGTTGATGTTCGCTCTGGGACTCGAACCTAGTATCGTTCGCTTCAAACGTCATCACGTCCCAAATGGGACGAAACGTGCGTCCTGGATTCCATTGTTAGCCACTTAGAATGCTTGTGAATTAAGGTAATATCGAGGCATTACACACAGTATGCACATATGTCAACAAGAGACTAATCAATTTCAGTTCTAAATATCAATGCGAAGATTCAAGTACATAATACGAAGTGAATTTAAAAAAGGATAATGTTTGTTTGATGTTGAATAATGTTGATCATTAAGTTTGTTTCCAATGTTAGTAAAATATATACTATCGGAATTTGTATAAAAAAGTTCAATTGTCGACAGTCTGAAACTTTATAAAGGGGGGTTCTTCTTAAAAATAACGCAAGTTAAACAAGAACAAAGTAAACATCAAGTCAGATATTTAGCAAATGAAAATTTCACGTCTTTCTAGTGTAAAATGACTCTATGTCATACTTTTTATTTGCTTATTTATAACTCGGTATCAATAGATCTAACATTTATAGTAGGATTACACTACTCAACTCGCATATGTATATTTGTACAACGATCTTGGAAAACTTCTCGACTTCAATTGAATAGATAGAATATTTTTCTAAATAAGTAAAGTAGGATTTAACATTTTATGAAATGTTCCTGTTACTTATATTTCTTTATAATTACAGAATAACTTGTTCATTGTTTGTAAATTTCTAATAATAATTTAACGAATATTGAATACGGATTGATTGAAGTTAGACATTAACACAGTTGAATGCCGGCCAGATCAGTGGTTTAGAGTTTAAGCGTTCGAGCACATAACCGATAGGTCCTGGGTTCGAATCCCGCGAGGTGGGGCCGTGGATGCGCACGTCTAAGGAGTTCCACAGTGGGGCAAAACGGCCGTCCAGTGCTTCCAGGTTTTCTATGATAGTCTAGCTTCAATTGATTCATGAATTCAGTTATTAAACTGTTATTGTTGATTTAGTTTGTAAACTTTTAATTTTAACACGATCACTAGGAAGTATTTTATTTAACTAATTATTTAATTCTATCATTAGACACTCAGTACTGATTTAAATCAGTAAGGTAATTAATATTACATATAGGGGAAAATCACTATTAAAAACTGGATAAATTTGTGAATCTTTTCCACTAAGATTTATTATCAATGTATAAAAATGCTTAAAAAGATAACTGTACAAATTGATGAATGATCCAAAATCATACTTTTAATCTTGATTTTGTGTGTGTAAATCATAACAGTAATTTGATTTTCAACACATACAGTCGTTTAAAGTATGTGTGTGTGTATGACAGAGGGACAGAGAGAGAGAGAGACAACAATACTTACCAAATTGTCCTGTATTCGAACTACGTCCGTCTGATGAAATTTGTCCATACATTTTATCATCTTCATTTGATTCTTCACTGGCCGCTGGAATCGGCATAAAATAGTTCAATAAAAGAAATCCTAAAAGAACTAAAGCGGATGCTGCTCCATACGCCCTGAACATTGTTGGAGTTCCTGATAGGAATAGTTAATTAACAGAAAGAATACTTTAAACGTTAAGTTTCTTGAGTAGTGTAATTAAAATTTATAGTAAACATTTACAAAATATATTCACGTTATATATTGATAAACATTTATTTCAGTCTCACCAGGAAGTTCAGTTTGTTTTATTATCTTTCCAAAAAGCCTCTTGTTACTAACATTAGATTCTTCTTCTAGGTCAGTCGGTACAATATTAACTAATCAGAGAACAAGTATTAAATGTTCATTAACCGTTTGTACCTATCCAACTAATCAGCGGTATAAAAATACTGGTTGAATAATCAGACGAAAATGTACTATAGCCTAGATCTGAGTTATATCTTAGTCAAGAAAATTTGCCGGTTTCTAATGCTAAATGATTATCAACAGTCAGCAGGAACTCTAGGAGATGAATCCCGGGTTATTAGACTTTGACAAGCAAGACATATTTACAGTCTTGATGAAGTAAACGCTCCTGCATTTTGTTTATCTCCTAATGTATATACGATAAATTCAGATAAAGCTCCGAAAAAAACTATTAAATAGCTCATCACTAATAATTAAAACACACGTCCATAGTAATTGACGTATAAATTTTTTTATCTCATAAGTATTGAGGGTAAGCAATAGTGAATTTGAAAGATTTAGTGTAGGGATTTCTACGTTAATGTTTACGTTTCTCAGAAGGGGTTTTTTGTGGATATTGTAATAATTTTACTAGTTGAGATCATGAGTCAATTGGAGCTAGATCACCATTGAAAACCTGGAAGCATTGAACGGCCGTTTCACTCTATTGTGGGATTCCTCAGAAGTTCGCATCCACGGTCCCACATCGCGGGATTCGAACCCAAGACCTGTCGGTCTCGCGCGGGAACGCTTAACCTCTAGACCACTGAGCCGGCATCCAACGGTGTTAACGTCTAACTTCAACTAATCCACGAAATTAAGTGATACGTCCACCATTATCTTCAGTGATTTTTAGTTAAACAGCTTCTATCTTAATTAGTGACAAATGCTACTTCTTCGACTTACTGTAAGATGACTTCTAGAAAGAAATAGAAATCTAGGTAAACGGCAAACTACATGTTCGTTTCGTTTAAGTTGAAGTTTTTCACAAGAATTATTTGTCAGGAATAGGACATATTTTGCAAAGTATGGTTTTTATGTTTCGTAATTTTATATCATCATGTTTTATTAAGCTTAAACTACATCAAATGTATTCCGTTAAATGTGATATGACAGACATTGTCTCAACAAACAGTCTATAAATAAGGTCAAGTCATTCTTACAAAAACTATGTGATTTAAAAGACACTTTTCAGTAAAGTACCAAACAGTTCACACGAATCACACACATTTCACAACAGAAGTAATAAAACCTATTAGAGTTTGAAGGTTTTATGAAGTTTATTAATTGTCCAAGGTTTATTATCAGTTTTGAAATTTTAATATTGCAGAAATCTCATTGCATAGTTCCATTCATTTAATCAGAATGTTCTTTAATCTTTCCCGTAGTTATTCATCATCACTTACAAAATATTTATTAAAGAGTTAGTGTTATGTCCTTTGATCTGTCTACCCACTTTTGGTGCTGAGGATACTTATCTAATCCAGATTGAGACCTTAGCGCGATAGGCTGGCCAACCTAACCTTGAGGCTAGTACGCGTGAGTTCGAAGTGGGGTAGAGAGAAGAAAACTATTCTATCACCTGACTAACTGACAAACACGCGAATGCGAGAAGACAAGACAACTGAAACACTACTCGATCTATTCCCGATATCCTGATTTCTGACTTTTTCGATTAGTGTAAAAAGGTACATGAATAAATAGGTGAATAACCCGACCGCAACGTACAATAATTAGGAAAAATACAATTATGTCCAAAGCCGGTAATTAGCGTAGAAAAGAGGGTGCAAAATATTATGTTTAAATTACAATAGCTTCGGAACAGAAAAGGGTATGGCAATGAATCATACATCGAACGAAAGCATATGTTCTATAGCATAGATTAGGGACAGAAATAAATATTTGTGTTTTACAGGCTTTGAATAAAATGGAATAACGTCCCGAAAAGTAGCTTTCGTAGTTTATCAGGGCTTCTTGTTTCCCTGTTCACATCAGTTAGTGAAACTGAATAATAAAGTAACCATATGAGAAAGTTATGTATTAACAAATTAGATGTTCCTGTTCAATCAGTTCCTTACTCATATTACGTAACTATTAATAAAATGATTTCTTTGAAGGTTAACTGAAAATTAAATTAGACTGAAACAAAAGTTGATTGTTTATGAGGCGCTAAAAAGTAATGTATATCTATAAAAGTGACCATTTGATATGTACATTATTCTCATATTTATTGCATAATGAAAGAAGAATTTTTCTTCCTAATAAATTTATACATACTGATCATTATTACATAACTATTTCAATTGCTCATTTTATGTGATGAAAGGTAGAAGTTGTTAGAGTACGATCTAAGAAAGAGATCAAAATGATTGTGATGAGTTTTCAGCCAGTTCTTAGTCAATCATAAAATAGGTTTTGTAAATGGATAGTTCATACAAATTCCGCATATTTAATGAATTCATTAAGATTCTCTACAGGCCTCACCTATCTGTATATACTTTATGCGTTTTATCGAAACCTTATAAGAACAAGTCTGAACGTTTAAGTCTTTATATTGTCGCTAGCTAAGGTGAGATATTTAGAATTAGGATTAGAGGATTAAAATTAAGGTTTTCATCATGAAACGACATCATCTCTCATGTAAAAATACTCTGTAGCTATCAAAATCCAAGCCAAGATCTAAGAGGTGTTTTCTGATTAGTTCGTTCACAAAATATAATGTCAGTAGGTTAAGGATTGTTTCAGAATTAATTAGTTAGGGTTATGATTTTTAAATAGTGTCAGTTTATCTGTTATATACCATCTATAGAGATAGAATTGTGCATTTAGTGCTTTTAAAACTAATGTTTAACTTTGTGGTGGCAAAAATAATTTTTTCATTATCATTTTAAACATCTTAATCAGTAATGAAAAGGTATTTTTACTACTTGTTAAGCGTGGTACTTAAATTTTGTGCTAAAACCTAAAATTAGTGTTCTAGATCCTGATTGACTAGAATCGATGCTTTATGTTTACCGATAATATAGCTCTTAAAAACCATCTCTCCCACAAACCCTTAAAGTCAGTTCATCTCATTCTTTTTCAACTAGAATAATATAAGAGAGGAATAAAACAAATGAAACACTGTAATATATAAATTTGACCAATCACAAGAAGCCTTGCACTATGTAATGTGGAAGCACTCTTCATATGTACTTAAATGTTAGATAGACTAGTAGTGAAACAATACAAAATGTCATGATCTATATCAGTTTACACAGACAAATATGGATATAAATTTGATTGGAAAAATGTTTGCATTGTGAATCGAGGAAGTAGGTGTACCAGAATCCTTTTAAAAACGTGAAATTTCGGGTTATTTGCGATCAACAGACATCATTATGAATCAGCTCCAAAATACTCTGGTACGGTCGAGAGTGGGGAGAGTCGGTTTTCCCTCTCGAAATGCTCTCACATGACCACGTGCATACAACAACTTGCAGGGAAGTCCTACTCACTGCCTTCTCGCGGTGTGGGTGTTGTCTAAGAAATTGAGAGGAAAAAAGGCCGGTTTGATAAGTGCGGAGGATCCACCTAGGGGAGTTGGAAAACCCTAATTCCAAATCAATGGCGCACACTTGCTTGAGGGTCCTGAGGGGACAAATGGCGTATGAACTTATTGTTAGTCAACGGCTATCATGGAACTGCATCTCCTGACGTTGCACCACTGTCTTGTGCATTAGACCACTAGGTCAAAGGCTCGGGCAGTGGTCTTCTAAGAAGATTACCTGCAGTATTCTAGCCCTCATACAAGTCGAATGATGAAGTGTGGGATATATATAATATTCGGTGCTTTCTTGTACCAATGTTTATGTGTTTAAATAAATAATAAATTATGAATCTAGTTTATCAATCCATACAGAAATTTCATACAATCTTCTTCTTTTTCAAAGTTGATAAAAACAAAAACAAAATCTGTAGCCGAATATTTAAAAAATACTTGTTTCTAAGATTTTCTTCAAATGCATTTTATAGGTAGATAGGTAATCAATTGAATGGTCAAGGGTTAATCTAAAAGGTATTCATGTTAAATCTAATGACATAAGAAACCTGTGAAAAAACGTGTCACAAGCAAGATTAACAGGACGAACTGATTAAATATGCGTGTAATAATGATAATATTAAGAAGGACAATGAAAGATTCTCAATTGAACCATTTGATTTAAACAATGTAATATTACCAAATAAAGAGGATAATATTACAAAACAAAAATCACAATTATCATTTACCATAACTAGATATAACAAGTCCACCAAATATGGCACCTAGGCCACGTCCCATACCATAATGTATTGCACGAAGAAATCCTAATGTTGATGAACGAAACTCCGGCTGGAATGCTTGCATAATATATGAACAACAGGCTACCCATACACCAGCATGTGTAAGACCTGAAAAAGATTTCAGAGGAAGAACATAATATCATAAGGAATCTGACAGAATCATTATCTTTTAATCATAATATAATATAATGCTTACCATTATGAGTAACTAACTAAATCTTCTTAAACATAGAGAACTTTAGGAAGTTAACTTGATGTACCCTAATTCGTGTTCATTTAAATTTAATTTGTTTGTGTTTTTCAATTTATTTCTTGTTATTTATTAAGATGGGTTTTCCACCTTAAGTTATTGTCCATGAAACTGGTTTGAAGATTCACCTTTATTCTAATCTGTGGAAAAGCACGTTCGGCTAGAAGTATAAAAATATTGTCTGTCTACATTAGTTGTTCATTGATTGATAATTAATATCATGTTTATCTAGTGCTTAGTTCTGGTTGGTTTCTATCGATTAAATCCCAATGTAATCATTAGTTTGAGCAACCTGAAATCATGAGCACTATATTGTAATGCTAGTTGCTTTTCAGGAGATGATAGAAAGCACAGAATTCAGGTTTTATGCTGGTTGTTACATGTCAACAAGATATTTCTAGTATCCTGAAGTAGCTGAGACTCATAAATGAACGCCATGGCTTAAACTAATTATGAAGTGTATGTTGGTTTTTCTATGACTCATCCTTCAAACTATCGTTATTCTATTTAAGTTTTACTATTTTTGGAGATTTTAAGAAACACCCGATTAGTAAATTTATTTATCACTTTCCAACTAAGGCAGGTATATTAAACTATGTAAGTGTTTTCTAAAACGTAACTGATTTATTCTACCTTAAAAATGTATACCTCAGAATAATGCGGAAGTTTATTATTTAAACACCAAGATTTCTTCATCGGTTTGTCTATTACGCATTCGTGAAATATCTTTTTACTTTCTAAGCATCATATATAGGGTAATTCAACATCTTCATTTGGACGTAACAGTTACTCTTTCAGAGATGATAATTTAAAGTACAATGTGGTTTACTATTTAAAAAAATTTGAAACAGCAGTCTTATCAACTAGATTCTGGATGTTTTATCAGTCCACTGATGAAGTGAAGTATAATCGTAATTATATTGATTGATAACATGGAAGTTTGAATAGTATGAGTTTAACCGGTTAAAGATTTATTTCAATATTTTTACCACTAAGGTTCGTTTTAATTTTTGCATTCAAAATTTAACCGCCATCTTATTAAATCTATAATAAATGGTTTAATTAAAAAGTGAACAGTAAGAATAATTAAGCAAAGATGGATAGTGGCTAGCAGTGGAATCCAGGACGCGCGTTTCGTCCTACTTTGGGACTCGTCAGCTAGATGTACCTGCATGTCAGAGTTGATGTTCACTCTGGGACTCGAACCCAGTACCGTTCGCTTCAGACGCTATCGCGTTATCCACTTGCTTGTGCAATAAGAATAATCCAAATGAGTTACATTAAATAAGTTACATTAAAAATGTTAATAATTTATTCATAAGCATTTCAAAATTCAAATAATTCATATAATGAATAGTAAAACAAAGATACTATTGAACAGAATGTGTTGGAACCAATTGAGTATGTTTTATGTTCTAAGTTGACCTGCTAAACATATATTAATCACCAACTTATTAATACACGTTATATTAACTTTTGTATAGATGAATGTTGAAAATTATGGATAATCTATGGTGACGTATAAATCATGGACAATAATTATAGCTATGATGATATTCTTAGATAAGATGATTCTTTGAGAATTTCCTTATTCATTAAACAATATTTCGTCACAAATTGATCTTAATTGAGGCATTAAATAAATATATGGAACATTTAACTCGAAAATGGAATGTTCTATCGTATGTAAAGTTATGTGTGCACCCTTTTTTAAACAGACATGAAATTGTTATCTAGAGTCTCCTTGTTTTCAATGATTTTTGAGTTAACATTAGTATTGGTAAAAAGAAATACGAAAATTATCATATACTACAGGCTAATAGCTCTTAAAAAACCTTAGTACCCTTTGAGCAGTTCACAGAGCATTTAGTTGCCAAAAATTTTACTTGAGTGTTAGAAAAGTTTAAGGAACGCTGACAAATTTGACCTACCATATCTCAAAGCTCTTGTATAACAAAACGTAAACATATCAAATCATTAAAAAGGATTTAACTGATTACAATCTTTAAGTTACTGAATTATTATCTTGTATTCATCATCCTTTCAGTTTTCACATTTATTTAAGGACTAACTTACTGAAATACTTTAAAATGTTTACAAACTCAGAGTCAACTACCAACAGTTGAATTCCGATTGCCACATCTATTTGTCAACGAGTAGAACTCTCCGCCTTAATATGTGTTTGGCAGCTCCATCTACGGATATATCCAAGACGATTTTGGATTAAGTTGGAGACGTCCATTATTGTGTCTAATATAAGCCCATGTTTGTACTGAAATAATCACTATTCTATCATGACGTCAGTTCCAGTGTAATGTTTTTTATACTTTGAATAACTGTGAAACAATTTGAAAATAAGACTTTGACGGCGAGACTATAATCTATGGAAGAACCAATCAGGCTCAAGATAAAAAGTCTTAGATTTTGGCGCGGAATTATTTCATCCATATAGTATTTTGGGATCATAGCTAATTTCATGGCGAGACTCTAATTTAGGGACGAGCCAATCAGAAGCGTTTGAGCAATTTCAATTATTAGCCAATCAGAAGACAGTATAAAGTAAAAGTATATTATATGAAAGTAATGAGTTACAGTGGATATTCTTCTTTTACATGATTTAAAAACTTGTTAAGGTTTGATAAAAGTTCAGAGGTTCTGAATCCATAACACATACGGTATAGAAACTCGTCCATAGGGTTAGGGTTGTAGCCTCTCAATAAACACATCTGCTCTAAAATCCGCTGTAAACCGATCGTATGTTAGCATCACGTGTTGAACTTGGCTCCGTGACCTTGAAATTGCTCAAACGCTTCTTTTCGGCTCGTCCGTAAATTAGAATCTCGCCACCCTAACCCTATGGACGAGTTTCTATACCGTATGCAATATGGATTCAAAACCTCTGAACCTTTATCAAACCTTGACAAGTTTTTAAATCATGTGAAAGAATAATATCCACTGTAATTCATTACTTTCATATAGTATATTTTTACTTTATACTGTCTTCTGATTGGCTAATAATTGTCAAGGTCATTTTAGATTCGTTCAAAGGTCGTCCCTAAATTAGAGTCTCGCCAAAATGAACATTCTTCAATAAAAAGTAATAATATACTATTTTGAATCACCTTGTATAAATTCAAATGGAAGTATCCACCATGGATTTGTGATCCAAGAGACATAAAGAAATCTTGCCACATTGCCAACTAATCCCAAATACAGAACTTTTATATGACCTAAAGATTTAGAAAAAAATGAACTGTCATATTATAATTACATAATATACACATAAATATAAATATAACTTTGGCTAGAAACATGAGTTTAAATGATTCATCTCTGTAAATCAAAATGTTTTAACTTCTAAACAGTTTATATCCATGCTTCCACACACGACCAAATCTCAGTTTACGTTTTGAGCTTAAAACAATCATGTCAAATTATTTAAAATTAAATCGTTCCTATCTTTCAGCTTTGCCCATTCGTATAATCGTTTTGTTATCATAATATTTTGTTTTCTACAGTTTCACAGTATTCAACAGTGACATGGCTCAGAACCGATCACAATGGCGTCTGTGTATACACTCTCTGCCTTCCCTTAAACTAAGAGATTAAAATCACTTCATATCTTTCTTTCTACGAACTAATTATTTAATCCTGTACTATATCCTTATATGCAATCTTTGTTTATATATTACCACCACCGAATTAACTACTTTTATGAATCCGGTGTCCATCTTGTGTTAATGAAGTATGGCAACTTGGACCGATGGATATATGTGCCTGGTCCTACGTTGTGGCTGACTGACAGTATTCATTTGAAAGGCTTGAAGTGATTCATAATGAATTACTATTTTATTAGAGTGGCTTAATTCTCTAAGAAGCTGAGTATCAAAATATAATCAAGTATTTTCAGTGCTCTATAACCTTTCATTAATTTTTCTGGTTATATCTGTTAAAAATAAAAACAAACAAATCTTTGAAATTTCATAGCATTTATCTTTTAGTGGGGTCCGTTATTTTGTCGTCGTTTAGATCGGACGATGTTTGTTGACGGGCTCTCCACTTTAGTGGCCCGTGATCTAACTTTAATTCGATCGTAATGAATGTTTGTTATCGCCTATCCTCGTTTATAATTATCGACTTAAATCGCGTTAGTCAATAACGGAATTAAATAAGTCAAATAACGAGATTGGACTTGTGAATACATATATTTTGCATGTAAAGCGAATGGGGTAGAGAGAAGAGAAACGATGCAGAGTGGAGATGGTGGGTAAGCCAACTCCCATTTAACCAAGCGTTAATCAATAATTATAGTTACACAAAGTAAGTTACAGGCATGTGATGAGTAGTGAGATAAGAAATGTACACACACCTACGCGCTCATATAAAAACAGTCAAGATCGATAAGCGAATAAATAACAAGGTCAGAATGTGACTCAAGTAGAATGAATGAAATGGTCTGTCCGAAAGCTAGAATAAGGTATATGGGCTTAACATAATAACCGACACTACAATCAAATAAAACGATTTTATCAAAGATGGAATTTAGTAGGATTCTTGTTATATACCGATAAGTATAATGAATGGTAACTTTTGAGATCCATTTATGGACCAATACTATGTGTATATTTTTGTCGTATGATAGTTAGATAACAAAACTACTCATATTCATTTCCCTCTTATTATGAGCTTTATTTTGATCTATGAACTATTATTATAAGATTTACCATTTTTGAATTGTGGCCTGTCTATTAATCACTACCTCCCTTATTCACAGCCACATTTGGCCAAATTTTGTACAAATGTTGTTTCATATTTTATGGTACGATGTGGTCTGTTTGATTGGTATAAAAATCCAGTATGTTTGAAATAAACGGTTAGTATCGCATAGGCTAAGGTTTGTGTCCTGGGCTCAACTGACTGGGCTAGGCAGGAAACAGGACCAATATGGACTCTAGACTGCTCGCACGTGTTTTATGCGTCATAGGTCTGATTGATAATTCACGGCTCTCTAATTGGCGGTATGATTACGTTACACATTAGCAGGGCACATAGCGACCACAAGTTATTACAACAATTCTGATATTATCATGAAGATGAATATAGAGATTATAACAGTAAATCTTATCATTTACGCTGCTTACCGATCATTATATGTGATCTATGATGTAACTTGTTTGACAGTAATTGTCTTATGAAATAATGAATACTGGTAGGTTTTTTCTTCACTTTCGATGGTAAAAATCAATGCAATCTTTTCATTCTAACCGTTTAATAAAAAATAATGCTTAATTTATTTGTGATAACCGAAATATGCTGGATATTTGTTTAAATCCAAAGTAGATTTTTATTGTTTCAACTGGAAACCTTTAATGGATACACCTAAGATACAAAGTGATGGATAGGTAGACAGGTGATTATGCATATCCACTACTATTGAGATATCAGTCAATGGATTGTAGTTAAAATCGATACAAACTAAGTCGTATTTATCCCATTCTCTCTTAAGGTTTAGTTTAAACTAAGACTATAGGTAGATTTATGCAATACAACACCATAGTGTACTTGTTGTTTTCAACTGTAATATTTATGAATAATCTGGAAGTCGTATGACGTTATATTTTTTCGTCTTTCCAAGATATAATAAGAGTGTTGCTGTTGTTGGAATAATTGATGCCATTTTATTATTTGAGGCGAATCGTATACAACTAAGAACAACACTGATTTTCGATAATGAATAGTCAGTCAGTCAGTCAATCAGCTACAACATAGGACCAGGCACATATACTGAACGTTCTATTCCATGTGAAGTTATGTCAAGCTGTTATTTAGAATCTCCGTGCTTTCAATGATTTTTCAGTTGTTATTAGTATTAGTAACAAATCGAAAACTACGATACATTACAGAGTAGTAGTTTTTTGAAGAAAAAAACTTGGTACCCTTTGAGTATTTATTTGCCCAAAGTTTTACGTACATATTGGAAAAATTTAAGGAACGCTGATAAATTTGATCTATCGTAATGAACAATTCATTGATTTCATCTATGCAAAACTTGATCTCTTTCATGGTTCATTCATTGATATTTATTATATTCATTATTTATTATTTACGCCTGTTACTCCTCGTGAAGCAGCATAGGCCGCTCACCAGCATTCTCTATTCAACCCTGTCCTGGGTAATCCTTTCCAGCTCCTTCCAGGAAAAATAATTCATCGATATACATATAATCAATTATTTAGTTCAAATTTTCTATATAAATTAAAACCTCAACAATTTATACAATTTAATAACTAATAATCAACAAGTATTAATCTTAAACACTAACCAATTTTATCAATTATTTGTTTACTAAATTGATACATTAATATCTCTGATACATGATTGATAATTGATGCAATACCAAATAATGTTGGTGAACCATTTAATTCTTGCATATGCCAAAATAAAAATGTAAATACTTGACCTAAACCCAAACCCATAAACCATATCACGAATAAGAATGCCAATAAACTTGGTTGACGAAATTGTTTCAATGCATAAAACCAATTTGTTACCTGGTATTAATTAAAAATAATAATAAGAATATATATTATATAAATTTTAATAGAATTCTGAATATTAAAGATTATTTGATTGATTGAAAATTATGATAATTCATTCTGATGATCAGTTACTATAGTCTTATTATTCTTATTAGTAATGTGAAATAGATTCTTTGGATCACAATTAAAATAAAATGAGTTCATGAATTCTAATCACTATTTCAATGTTCCGGAACTTTCCCTCTCAAATTTTATTTATTCGAGACAAAATGTTATGATCTGATTAACTCTATGGGAATCTTCGCTACACCATGATACATTTATTCATCCTTAATCACCCTCTTATGTATAAGTATGTCAATATCTGTAATAATGTTCAATTTTAAATATTTTAGGTTGTAAGCAGCTGATGAGAACCTAACGAAATAAAATGAATTCATATTATTCTGCATCAATCTTTGTTCTTGCTCTCTTTAAGAGAATAAAGGGAATTATGTGTATGAAATTGTAATTACTGTTTAAATTTAATAGTTGAATTCATGAGTTAATTGAAGCTAAATAACCATGGAAAACCTGGAAGTACTGGACGGCTGTTTCATCCTAGTATGGGATTCCTCAGCAGTGCGCATCCACAATCTCGCCTTGCAGAATTCGGACCCAGAACCTATCAGCCTCGCGTGCGAACACTTCACCTCTAGACCACTGGACCATCATCCAGCGGTGTTAATGTCTAACTTCAACCAATCTACGAATGTTAGTGAGAATAGGAATAGAGAGAAATACAGACTATCCAAACTCATCAACACAGCTGTAATTTTTGTATTTTATGTTCTTGTGTGATTGAAGTTTTGTAACTTTCATATTCATCCTTGATTAGTCATTTGTAAAGTGACAAGTAAAGCGTGGCTATACTATTCGATATTGGGACCGTAGATTTATTTTCGTTATATATATATATATATATATATATATATATATATAGAGAGAGAGAGAGAGAGAGAGAGAGAATTAGACATATGCTTCATTGGTTAATTACTGATTCTGGTATTATGTTGAAATTTATTCAGTTGACAAGTGTAGATCAGCTTTGGAATCTAATTAGTTCATTTGATTAACGTAGTTATTTCAGTATTTTATTATTTCATTTGATTTGTTATCAGAGATATAAACTACTTAAATTATTTCATTTCAGTACTTTATAAACATGAATGATTAGAACGAAGAAACTACTTATTTTGTTAAACATTGCTATCAGTTAAAAGTTTTTACTAAGATTCTATTCTCATATTCTATATAAATATAGGCGAATTACAATATATATATATATTTCTGATTGATAATAAAATTTCTGAATTATCAACCAACATACATGATAAACTTATGTGTGTTAAATCAAAACGAATCTAAGTCATGTTCAATGGATGTTAACAATCAAACAACGATTTATTCTATATGAAAAAGGTTACTGGACATGTATGATATTTTAACAACAATGACATAAGTACGGAAAAATATGCTAGATTTAGAATCATATATATGGTAGTAACAGGTTATGAACGCTTCCGAGTATCACAAAGTCTAATTAGTGAATAGTATTTATCTAATATTGACAAGTATATACTGAAATGAAATTCAAAATAAATTATAAGAGTACTGTGGTGTGTACTACTGGTGTCGACAGATATAAATAGTATGTATCACCAATAGGATGTGGAATGCCTGGTGGCAGAAGGTTGAGAAGATTGAAGAGATGAGAACGAGAACAGAGAGTGATCGGAATGAAAAAAAGGAACTTTCAAGTCTGAGACAATTGATTTACTTTTCGCAAATGAAGTATTAATTGTATGATTCTCAGATTTTATTAAGTTTTTGTAATTTTGTGTTTAAATACATTTGATTATCCCCACTTGTGTTCTTGTTCACTACAGTACTAGTGTTTATCACTTCTGCAGAAATCAATCTTAACTTATTGGAGAACTTTGTTTTCCACAATTTATTTTTAGAAAATTTATTTCAACAAATACTTACTCGTCGTATTTCTATAGACTTTTTCTGAATGAATTGTAGAAATTATTAAGTTTTTGGTTGAGATCATGAATAGACTGATGTTAGACTAACACTGAACACCTGAAGGCATTGAAAGACCGTTTCGCTTTATTATGTGACTCCTTATCAGTACGCATCCATGATCCTGCGAGCGGTTTTCAATGGTGGTCTAACATAAATTGATTCATGATCTCAACCAAAAAACATTATGTAGTGTTTTTTATGATGAAAACAAAACCTGTTTCTTTCATTGTAGTAGTAAAGAGTTAATTTAAAGTTCCTTTTTTAAATCTTTTTGGGTTGAAAGATAATTCATCAGATTTCTTTGATGATGATCAGTATAAAAGTAGATAGAACAAAAAAGGTTTTCTAAATGAAATTGTTACAATAGAAATAATAAACCCTAATATTCACTGGATCAGATAAAACGTTCAAATAAATGATATTTACTAGTAATTTATTAAGAAGATATCTCGGCAAGACTATAATTTATGGATAAACCAATCAGATTTAAGATAACAGGTCTTAGATTTTGGTACGAGATTCATCCACTCATTCGGCTAAATATAATTTCGGCATTATAGCTTATGCCAGTTCGTGATGAAAACATTAAATATAATTTCTAACCCTAACATGTAACTGTAAATCCTAATCCTAGTTCCTCTCATTAATTTATAACCCTCATTTAATCCTAGTAAGTAGATGGACAATTTCAAGGTCATTTTAGCGTTGCAAAAAGGTCGTCCATAAATTATAGCCTCACCGATGTCACTATTTATCAGTCAATGTTGAAGTAGGAGTTTTTGGACGTTTGAAGTGAAATTTCATCATGAACAGATAATCAGCTAAATGATAATTAGGAATTAGACGAAACAAAATAAATGATTTTTCTTAGTTCAAGTCTCTTAAATAATAAACATCCATAAACTGACTATAGATCGAATCTAGGACATTCCTTTCTCGTAACAGGAATGGTACGTAATCAGATGTTTAGAAATTTCGTATTACAAGTATACTGTTTTTCTCTTACAGAAAATACATTCGTTGATTCGTTATTGTTAAAGACTTAATCAAATTAAAAATGTCAAATATGATCATGGTTACACGATTGGTAAACAATTTTTTAAATGGCATAATTTTTTTCATCAATACCATAATATTTCATACAATAGTTATCATCTAATTGAGCTTGTGGTGGAGTTCTGTTCTCTGAGCTGGATGTTTTGGTCGTGAAGCTTTCATCGTTCTTCTGAACGACATCATCAGCATAAACTTCAGGTAGAAGTGAAGTGTTCGAATTTCTGAATCTGAATATCTGAAGCTTATAACAACCCTCCCACAATCAATTTTAATAATTTTGTCAAGCCCTTTTATTAACTTATTTAACAGACAATGTTATTCGAACAGTAACAATTTGCATATTTCTTTGTACAATTATGATCACTTTCATGTCTGTATAAACGTGTACGTGTGATCACATATCTCTCTCTAGCTAAAATGTTAATCGCTTAAATATCGCCCGATGAATCACTCTTTCACATATATATGTGTCCTTGAATTTTACTGTTAACATTTGCCTTGCCTTGCTGCGCCATGATACAATTTGACTATAAATTTACCCCTGTTTTCGTTCGCAAACACACATTCGCGTCTCTGCTCCAAATTCGCACGGTGTGCTTATAACTTTGTTATCTGTACTATCCGCTAGTTAACTGTAGTCGCCGCTTCTTATTACCTTTTGAATTCAAACAATGTTGAAGAGTTATATAATAACGGTTATTAAGGTGATTGATTAAAGAAACTAAGCCACTACAGTTGGCAAGTTGGTGATAAATTCTGTGACGTCCAATAATAGAATGGAAAAGCCGATTTATTGTTACTTAGTAGTTCAATAATTCACTGTCTAATCTTAAACAAACCCATACATGTTATGATCAGAATTACCATTAGTTTACTTACTTTTAATTGAGCCGCAGCAGCTAATTCTTCTTGTTGTGCATCCATTGTATTTTGACTTTTCAACTTAACTCCATCATTTTTTTGAACAATTTTGATTCCAAGTTGTTGTTCTAAGATTTCTTCATTACTGTGTTTAGATTTTTCTTTGCTAGTAACTTTTCCTGTTTCTATTTCATGGAGTAATGGGTCAGGTTTCCAATCTTTTGCACCAACATCCTCTTCATCATCTTCATTTACTAACTTTGAACGACTTTTTGTTGTTCTACCCAAAAATGTTCTAGCCATTTTATCTTTCACTAATTTAAAATACATACTCTCTGAATCACCTTCATACTGAAATGTGAATTGTGTTGCAATGAATAAAGCAAATGCAATAAAAACTGAATATGTTGCAAAGCATACCATGTAATTTTTTTCACGATAACCAGGATGTAAACATGGATAGTCAGGAAAACTTGTAGAATGATCTAATATTAATCCAATGAAAAACATTGATAATGCCCAACCAATCGAACCGAATATACGTTGTTTTTCGTAATTATTACAAAAATCTATTCCACTTTGTTGTAAAACTGCTGCATCAACAATTGGTATAGCAGCACATGACATAATTTCACTAAAAAGTACCAATAATAGGATTACAATGAATATTTGATTGATTTTTGTTTGACCATAAACAACTGTGGAATAAAGAGGCATAACAAGACTTCCAGGTGGAAATTGGGTAGGATCATGATAGGCTTGTGTTCTTGCATAAAGATTTTGATCACCAGTCTGTTGTCCAACACCTGTACCCCAACGTGTCGCTTTCATTTTTGGTGGAGATACTAATAGTTTAGTGTTTAGATAAAGTGGTGATTGTCCTAATTGATTACGGATTTTCAACGCTAAGTCTCTATCCATATCAACAGATTTAACATCATCATATCTTGATGCTTTATAAGGTTGAATAATGCTCAAAATTAAACCATCTTCATCGTCACTTGTTGTAGCATTATATCTTGTTGATCTTGGTAAACTTACTAAACAACCTTCTGGTGTTGGACGTACAAATCCTAATCCAAGTGTGAATGCCATGGCAAAGAATAAACTAACTAAAACAAACATCTTGCCTTTCTTCCATTTATCAGCTAATGCAGTCCAAAATGGTGCTGCAAAGCACTCGACTAATGATCTTGTCCCACTTAGAATACCACATTGTAAAGCATTCAATCCAAGTTGTTTAAAATAGATTGATATAAGCGGGAAAAGTGAACCAAATGCAGCATAATATGAAAAGTAAAACAGTTGATATATTACTAAAGATCTATCGAAGAATGATCGAAACCATTCCATGAAATTTTTTCTTGATGCAAATATTGATGAAATACCTTGATGTTCTTGTTCATTAGCATATTGTGTATCAATTGTAGTGAATTCATTCTTATTCATTTTTTTCTATAACCAAAAAAAGTATTAAAGATAAATCAATTTAAGAAATTGTCATTATGACAACTGATAAATACAATGTTTTAGACAAATGAGTTATTTCAGAGTTACTATAAGGGACAGTAAATTCAAAACATTGAAATCAGTATAAATAACAAAATTAAATTACAGGTGATATGAGTTAGGAGTTACTAGTAGTGATAACGTTCATAGTAAAAGTCATCTAAGTCCTTTCACAGGTATTGTAGCGAAGGAGGACACAAGTGGAGACAACCGAATCATCTTCAACCCGACATTACAGAGTTACTTGGCAAAATATAAAAACCATACTATAATCCCCAATTTGCAAAGTGTTCAATAATTGTCTCGGACTTCATTGTTCTTGCATTTCTATACTGAGTGCTTTTTATTATCGTTCTTCCTTTCTTGACCTTCCCAATCTTCTGCTGCCAGACATAGCATTCCTGACTCGCGTTATATACTACTTATATCAATATAAGTAGTATGCACCACAGTATTATTAGATTAATCGGAATTATATGTGTGATTTCTGAATAATATTCTCTATGCCGAATAGTTTTTTTAATATTTACAATCACTGATACAGGTATCAATTCTACTACCTTGGTATTCATCACGATGATTCCAAATAACTGTTGTAACTCGATGTACATATATTTCGGGTTCTTTGTTATTTATTATTAACCTAATAGTTAAGCTAAAGAAAGTCGGATAAAATGTCTGTGAGCTTGGTTAATAATTTTATCTTGTACAGTTATCCTCATAGAACGAGTTAAACTTATATAAAAACATATAAGCAACTGAAATTGAAAGAATAAATTTTACTTACTCTGACAATATACAATAAATTTTATTGTAAAGTTTTATAAGGAATCACATTCAGTCAACTACAACGTAGGACCAGGCACATACATGCATCAGTTCAAGTTGCCATACCTCATTAACACAACAAGATGAACACCGGATTCATAAAAGTAGTTAATTCGGTGGTGGTAATATATAAAACAAAGATTGCATATAAGGATACAGTACAGGAAGGAAGATTTAGTAAGTAGAAAGAAAGATATGCAGCGATTTTTAATCTTTTAGTTTAAGGGAAGACAGAGAGTGTATACACCGACGCCATTGTGATCGATTCTGAGCCATGTCATCAAGAGTCTTCAACCATTGGTTACGATAGTCACGCGGACCCCAACCAAGTAGTCTGCATTTCCCGACATCTCCCAACAAGGAATTACAGTAAATATTAATTGATCATACAAATTTGAATACACTGATTTTCTACTGATGATCACCTTTCAATATTATGATTATGAATAGAGATCTTTGTTTAAACTATGGTCTACTCAGAGAATAACATTGATCAAAAGAAATTGAACTAAATATATTTCTCCATTTTTCAAATGATTCTCTTATGATCAAGTTATTAACTATTTAAACTTATAGTAGAAGATGAAAAATACTGAGATGGAACTTTGTGTTACAAAGGCAGATTATACATAAATTTATGTATACATATCGAAGGCATAAAGTCAATGTACTTGGATATAAGTAAATCTACAACAAGATATATCACTGAGTAATAATAATAATAATAATAATAATAAATATCATTTTCAATAATTAACACTTACATTAAACTCTCTCTCACTCTTCAATTCAAATTGTAGTTTAGCTCTATAATTTTATGAATAAAAAAGAAATTGTATTAAATGTAAATTTTCTAAATCATTTTACTTTTATTCAATTCTCAAATGACCTTATTTATTGATTGATTAGATACTTCAAGTTATTTGAGGAAAGAATTTTTCTTGGGAAATTTTTCTACTCATTCACTAAATTCTGATTGGTTAAAGTGTGTTCCTTTCAAATATATAAATATGTATATGTTTTGTCTCATTAGACCTCACATTCTTTTCTGTCTATAATCCATACTATATATTCTAAGTTTTCTTTTTTTCGGGGGGGGGATATTATTTTTATATTTATATTACCTAATCGTATTACAGTTACTTAGAAAGGAGTAAATGAAACATCAAAATAATGGAAATATCGAAAAGAAAACTATTCTATGTATAATAGATAACATAGAAACAAGTGGGAGTGTTAAAACATCATTGATAGAAGATGAAAGAATAGTGAAAATCCCTATTTAACAATTGGGCATTCAGTTTAGTTTAACTAATAGTGTATTGAAGTAATAACATGAAAATGGTCATTTTGATACTTCAGTGTTATTACTCTTTCTTACTAACATTCATTTAATGACCAGATTATAAATAGAATTAATTTCTCTTGTAACACAGCAACTCACTGAAGACAATGATGGATATGTCGCTCAATTTCGTGGATTGTTTAAAGTTGGACATTAACAATGTTGGTTGACGGGCAGATCAGTGGTCTAGAGGTTCACTGCTCGTGCGCAAGACTGATAGGTCCTGGGTTCGGATCGTGGATGAGCACTGCTGAGGAGTTCCACAATATGATGAAACGCTCGTCCAGTGATCCGAGGTTCTCTATGGTGGTCTAGCTTCAATTGACTCATGATCTCAACCATTGAAATCACTATAACATTCACAACAACCCTTCTTATATGAGAACTAGTCTCCTTGATAATTGAAATTAATTTGTTTTTATTCTTTAAATACTTTGTTTGGATTGACTTACATATATATCAAGCATTAGTTATGGGATTTAAAAGAATAAAAGATCATTTGACGATAATATCATTGAATGATCATCTTAATTGTTTAGTTTTCTATAAAAGAAAGTGATTTTATTAGTTAGATTGACGAGATTATAATGTGTGGACAAACCAATCAGATTTATGAAAACAGGTCTTGAATTTTGGCGCAGAATCAATTCATTCATTTGGTTAAGTAGAGTTTAGGCATTATAGCTGATGTCAGTTCGTCAGGAAAACCCTAATTTCTAACCCCAACTATCAACTGCAAATATTGATCCTAATTCCTTACACTCATTTATAACCCTCGTTTAGCCGTAGTATGTAAGTGGATATTTTCAAGGTCTTTTTCGCATCGCTCAAAGGTCGTCTATAAATTATAGTCTCACCGTTAAATTTTCCCTATTCGGATAAAAAAATACTTAGTTACTCAGGGAGCATTATATCAAAACTCCTTAGTCAAGTATGATCTAATTTGTTCGCTCTTTGTATTAGTTACTGTGGGTAAGTTTAGCTTTGTGACTAAATACTATGTCAATGCAGTTTTATTTGTTTTATTGAACAGTTCTTGTTTTAATGCAGGTTATATTCACCTTGAAAATCATCCTCTGATTCTAATAGTTCAGTGAAATAATCTACATTCTAAAGATTAACAGTTGAAAATGTTTTTTCTTAAAGTTTCATTATTTAAGTATTTTCGGTTGATTTACAAATACTGAAACAAAATTATAAAATCTGCATTTCATTACAATTTGTGTTTAGTACAACATATTAGGATAACCGGTTACTTATCTAAAATAAATGTCAATTAAGTTCATATGAGTAATTGTTACTCTTCGAAAAATGTTATATAGTTTTAGTTCAGGTAGAATTGCATAAAATCATCCCATTTTTTGTTTCTAAGTAAAAAAATATGTATTATTTTAAAGCTGTGAACCGTAAACGGTGAAACTGATAGTGTAGCGTCGCTGATATGTTGCAGTGTTTGATGTAATGTAGTGTTGTGCAGTCTTCCGCTGGTAAAACAGGATTGATTAGTTTTAGCGTACATTACGAACTGAATTATGTTAAAGACCCTATTAAAATTGAGAAGCACTGGACAGCTTATTCGTTATAGTATGTATAACCTTAGCGGTGAGAACTCATGACACCACGAATTTAATCTAAAAAAACGCCAAGCTTTGGGGGGAGAAAATATTATTTTCAGACAGTTCGTAGAGTTGAGTGAACTCAGTGATGAGAAAATATATGCTATGTCGAAATAGCAGTGCAATACTTCCTTCATTTTGTTGGTTGTCTTCTTAAAGTTAGTTCGTAATGTGTTCTGTCTTCAGAAGTGGATAATCTCCACAAACTTCGTAGGTTAACAACAAGTTTTGGTGTAAGTTGTTTAAACTTTTCACTATAGTATTATCTATTTAAAGTGATGATTGACTATACATTTTCGACTTCACAAAGAAGTATTATATTCTCAAATTTGACGATAAGGACTTTTGATGAATAATAATAATAAATGTTAAACTTAATAAGACTCAAGTTGTATATATATTGCCATCAAATTCTAGAAATTGTAAAACAAACTGAAACAAATTCTATGAAAACCTAAGATCCGAAATGAACAGAGAACGTTGGCTAACGTTTTCTCTCTTTCACCTCATTAACAGGTTGTCACTTTATCTAAATAATGTCAATCGCAATGTATTTATACGATAATGTAAGCTTACCAGTGGCCACACTTATTATTATTTCAACACACTTAGTTGAAACTTAATGGTATTTTAGTTCATTAGATTAGTAAATCAACTTTTAAAAAATGAATGTGAAGTAGAATATTTAAATTAATGAAACTTATATTGGCTTAATAAGGAAAAGTAGTAAATTTTCTTGTCAAAGTAAGACCAAAGTCCACTTAAATTTGATTAATCTTGTTGCAATACACTTGGATATCATAACAAAATGCAACTTATTATGGTAACTTTTTTACTCAATATCACATGTCCTACAAAGTAGACATTAATGTTTGGGGAGAAAAATTTTTAGATTTATTTTGAAGTCAATTGATAACTTGCGCAGATTAGGTTGTCAAGACAATGCAATTAAAAGTCTCTGATATATTGCATAGAATACTGCATATAAAACCAGTCCCTGTTCTTTATTCATTTTGAGAAATTGTTCTGTTTATGCATTAGTACCATGATTCCGTATTTTACATGAACATATATAAAATTATTAGTATGCTGACATCCTTCTATAGAACATTTGATAGTAGTCAACGATTGTAAATCGGAAATGATATTATTATTCTAACCAAGAAATTAGTTAAAATTGATAACAGAAAATATTATGGAAACAACTTACTTTCTGTTAGAATGTACATTCTTTGAAGTACAGTTATGTGACTTTAATACTGTCAATAATGAAGGTTCTAGCGATTATCAACCGTGATACTGTTTAGTAGGTGGGTGGTTTCAATGCGGTTTGAATGGGTGAAGTTTATAATTTGAATCATTTGACAGATTAATTGAAATAGTTAACATGATTCATCATTCATATTTCTCATGTGTTTTAATTTTCAATATTTTGAAAAGACTTTGAGATATTCTTTACTACTTTGTCAAAATCTTTTGGAAAACGGCTAAAATGAACTGAACTGTAAGATCCAGGAAATGATTGGAAAAAAGAAAGTGAATATATATTTTGAGATAACTTTCGATTACATTCAAACGATTTCTAGTTAATACGGAAAAAATTAAGTGATAAAGAATGATTATAGATACTAGCTTTGACTAGATGTAAAGTTGGTTAAAGTATGGTATATAATAAAGGTGATAAATGTCGAGTGACAATTTCAATACCATGGAAAATATTTTGACTAAAAATGCTTATTTTGATGGTGGAGAAATTGTCACTGTATACACCATACAAACTGTGAGTGTTTTAAAAGAACCATGAACTGTGGTTGTAGTTAACAAATATCTATGAATGTTTAGGAAGAGAAGAATGGTGTTTTTAATTAGCTTTTCTGAAAAATTAGGTTGACAAGCTAAACGTCGGCTACAAACATTTTAGTAATGTTAAAACTTTATAGCTCAAGTATTCATTTATTTCCTTATTTCGTATAGATATTATACTTCTTATTATTTTACGTTTAATGTTGAAAAAACTCTGTGTTTGAAAAAGGTAACGTCGCACTACAGCTGTTCTGTCCGTTCATCTAAATACAGACCTACTCATTACAATTACGGTTTCTTCTATTGATAGAACGGGGGTGAATGCTGCTAGGAAATGAACCCGTATTTACGGTTACGTGGTTTAGTTTAAAAAAATAATGTTGCTAATGATACATACGCTTATGGGTAATCATGGGCTAGAAACAGGAAAGCCTATGGATGCAACCCACTTGACAGCAATACAAAAGTATCACTAATGCCCAAAAATGTGGACAAGTAAATTATTCTGTTTCAGAGTTTTATTTATCGATAGTAGAAAAACTGTTTAACATGATCAGCTGGTAGTCCAAATGCCTGAGCATAACATGGAAAGTAGTTCAGAGATGGGATGCACTCACATGTTCTCTATCTTAACAGGTTTCAGGAATATCAGATGAGAAAGGTCATGTAGTTCACTGCCAAGAATAAAGCAGATAATCACAGACATTCATCTTCCTTCTCTTTGTAACATAGTTTGTTCATACAATATTCTTCTTATTAACGACGAGCAAAAATTCTTCAGCACCATTTTATGAATCACCAAAACATAATCACTTTCCATTTTTTAATCACAGAGTATACTAGGTGAGATTTATTTCCGATCTTACTGTTCTGTCCATGTATCTAACTATCCAGGACATCTATATTACAAGTCGCAAAAGGGTTTAGCCGTGTTCTAAAAGCATAACAAAGATGAGTTTCTTATTACAAATATTTTAGGGCCAGTGAAATTCCCCTGAGCCCTAGCAAATTCATCCTGAAATCGGGTTATTGAATATCGAACAAATCATCGATCCTCATCAAAGTCAAGAACAACCAACG